AGGTCTAGGCCCTGCCCAAACACACCCATATCCAACCTATGTATTCAAATATAAATAAAAACATTTCATAAAAAGAGTTAAGTTAGATTTTTCTAATTCAATCATAGAACACTATCATCTATTTCATAGATTTAAAGAATTAAGGCAACCTTGCCTTTTTCCTTTGCCGATCGAAAGTTTTCCGTTTATTATATTAGCTATATACATTTTCAGAAGCTAATGTCACTTGTTTGTATATTAAAATTTTGGAAAAACAAACTACATTCTATACTAAAAAATACGGCTTTGTGTGCGTTTTTCTGCAAACTCGATTCTCAAACAAAAAGTTCAAGTTTTCTTCCTGATTCTTCTATACGATGTGATTGATTGGGCTCAGACATTACATGCATACGTCAATTGAATTTACGTGTTTGTTTCTTTTCCACCTTGAAACTATTACACCTAATAATTTTTCGAGAGATTTTACAAAATTAGCACCATTCGGAATTAAGCAGTTTTTCGATAGTGTCTTCGTTCTTTTGAGCTCTATGAGCAATATTTGTCCAAAGAAAAAAAATACACCCAGATTTGATTCTAGTTTCTAGAGAAAAAAATGAACCCTAAATAACGTAGTATGGATTTTTGTATGGGACCAAACTTCAGATTATTTTTATTGTCTGATTTTTTTTTAGTACCAACGACTATTTCTTGAATAACTTTTCAACGGTTCAAGTTATAAAGATCGGGTTTTCACCGTTAGAAAGGGCAAGGTGGAGGATGTGGATCTGTATAAAATTCATTAGGTTTACGAGTCTTTTGTATGATTGTTTGCAGTCAAATATTTTAGCGGTTGTCTATTTTCATGAGTTTTCATGACTAGTTAACATCTAATTAGACCAAAATGTAGCCCAAATCGTCCTGTATTTGTGCTAAAATTTTCAAATCGTTGCGTCTTATTCTTGAATTTATTTCCTTACGCTTTGATGTTAAAATGTGAAAATTTTAGCATGAATACAGGACGATTTGGGCTACGTTTTGGTCTAATTAGATGTTAACTTGTCATGAAAACTCATGAAAATAGACAACCGATAAAATATTTGACTGCAAACAACCATACATAAGACTCGTAAACCTAATGAATTTTATACAGATCGACATCCCCCACCTTGCCCTTTCTAACGGTAAAAACCTGACCTTTATAACTTGAACCGTTGCAAAGCTATTCAAAAAATAGTCGTTGGTGCTTTAAAAAAATCCGACATTAGTTACTGTGTGCCTAATATCTTAGTGAAGGATGCATTAGAAGATTGAAGATTTTCAGTTAATCCTTTATCGAGAACGCTTGAAGTGTGTTAGCGACAATTGTTTACTCTCTTTCTCTTTGGAAGACTGCATTTGTTCTGTTCGTTCTGAGTTCAAAAATCTAATATAGAATTGTGATCGAAACGTATTTTTGAAAAGAACAAACATTTTGAATTATTGAAATCAAGGGCCGGTATCTTCCTCTTCAATTACTGAATTATAATAAGTCTATTTTCTTTCTGAATCAACCGTAGATTGTCATTAATCAGATCGATGAACAAATCACATATTTATTTTTAGAATATTATCCTTATTATAAGCTGAGATTGACGTCAATGTTACTACGTCGTTTTAACTAAAAACAAATTTGAATTCAATCTTTGTTAGCTGCTCAGATTTTGAACAAATTTGGTAAGTAGTCTTTAGTAAAATCTTTATATCTTTTAAATACAAACACTTATCGATCTTGCCCTTGTGTACATCAATAGAGGAGAAGTTAAGCTACCTGCCCATTATATTATACTTGGGAAAGTATATGTTGTTTTCAAAGTGAATTAAGTTCATCTTCAAAACTCATGATGTATTCAAGAAGAAAAACGACTGTAGTTTTTCATCAACTTTGTCAACATATAGAGCAACGTCTACCACTAGATAGTACGAAAAATTCGAATCACCTCTCTCTTTTTGTTTAAAATGTATTCAAAAAATACCCACGACCATATAACTCTCAAATGGATATTAGATACTTTCTACTCTCATGACTAGTTTTTATTAATCAACCTGTAAGTTGATTTTTCACATTTCATTTGAAACATTTTTTTGATAAAAAAAAACGCATAGGATATCGTTATTTGAAAATATATTTTTCCTTGGATCTATTTATTTTCTTTATTATAAATGTGTTGATTAGTGAAAAAATGTCGAGTTTTATAAGTGATCGAATTTTTTTGTATGGATCTATAGAGTATAGATTTATATATGCTTTCATATCATATTGTTAGATATAACAAGTAAAACTTCTTTTTTTTTCGATAATTACTATAACAACAGACATGATTTTTATATTAAACGCAAATCTGTTTCTTTTAAAACGATAGGATTTCTCTCATCTAAATCAATTCTTACAATTAATTAATTTCGTATGACGAACTTGTCTGCGTGAAAAAAAAGTTTCATTTTAATATATTCATAAAATTGATCAAACTTTTGATCGAAATATAAAATTGATAGAGTGTATGCTATATATGATTCATTAAAGTAAAATAGTGTTCCATTCAAGCATATCTAATTACGAGATGGCCAAGGTTCTATAAACACATCATGATACTGAATATAACTATAAAAAGTAACGTAAACAAATATTCACGATATTAATATAAAGAAAATGAATTGTTTGAATAAGTGTGCATGTCGTCATACAACAGAAAAAACTCGTTCTTACCTTAATATAGAAAAAATGATTGCGTACATGTACATAGTTATTTCTACAATGAACTTTTCTTTAAACAATATATTGATGTTGATAAAGTTTCATTAATATTGTAAACGACTCGATGGCACATACTGAACTTATGGATTTTTGCATAGAATTCTATTCTAGATTACTTTTCGATTGGTTATTGTCCAAGAAAATGTTGAGAAATGAATCAATATTCCAGAATAGACTGCCTCGAAGCGGTCTGATCGAGATTAAACCAATATGAGTAGGCTAGGTGTTAAGATTGAGTCTCTGAGAAAATCAGTCACTCTAGTGCATCGATCATGAAACAATATCTTAGAGTTTTCTGATTTTTTACAAATATGTTGTAGATGGTGATGAGTTTAGAAATCTTTCAAATTTTCATTTCTACTCAATCGCTTTTTCCAAGGTCATTATTCAAAATACTGATGAAATTTTTAATGATCATTATTTTTTTAAAAACTTTTAATCGTTGTTTGTGAATTTTCTTGAAAATATGATTTTTATCTTTTGAAATGAGAAAGTTTTGACATAATGCTCGTTTAATCGTAATTATTAATGATTTCTTCATAAATTAATTTTAATTAATTATAAAATGTATTAATATCTCAAAATAGAGCCCTATTTTATCCTTTTTTGACTTTCTATCAGCAAAATGTCAGTCGAGTGCATGTTATGCCTCAACAACGAAATGCGTTCACATTTTCACTAGCAATAGAGCCCAAAAAGTTGTATATCATATGATGTATTTAATAATTTTTTCCCCATGTGCAAAATCAATCACTTTCAATCAAAAATTGTCTTTTTTCTATCACTCATAAATATGAAGATGTAGATGTATTTGTTATAGATTATACTTCGTTGACTGCTTAAAGTTTTCTTGTGTAGCTCATTTATTTGTTGTAGGTATTATGATGATAGAAAGTTAGTGTGTGAGACCTTCGACATTTTTCGTGTTAGCAAAAGAAGATGAAATGTTAAGAGTGGGGCAACTTTCATAGAAAATAGCATAAGAGAGAAACTATTTCCAGATTTTGATTGCGAAACATTGACTTTCATCAAAAACAAACTTTATATGTGCAATCATCATGCAAAACTATACACGAACAAGTATGCACATGAGGCAAAACTGTTAAATACATCAGACGATATCGATCGTTTTGAACTCAAACTCCTTTATTTTAAAAGATAAAAAACATACTTTCGAAGAAAATCTACAAAAAGCAATTAAACAATTGAAATGGAAAAAGTAATCGCATCGAATTGAAAATTTTCAGAGATTACTAAACTTATCACTATTTACAATATATTTTTTTTAAAAATCAGGAAAGTCTGAAATATTACTCCATCGTCGATGTCTGAGTCTCTCAGAAGCTTACTCTTGAGATCTTTCTATTTTGAGCTCCAAGAATAGGTATTACTAATTCTACTCAAACTAAAAATGTAGTCATTATTTAATTTTGCAGAAAAAATGACAGACATACACAAGGATAGAGTCGAAACACATGTTTGAAATGTATCGTACATTGTGTCAGAAAGCACAGCACATTTTACGGTAGTCTGTGCATCAATTTTATCTTGTTGAGAGAAACCAAAGAAGCATAATCTCATGAGAGTTTTTAATGAACTCAATATGATATTGTCAAATACGACGAAACTTCATGAGTGATAAATCCTTGTAAACATACATGTCATCAATGTATTTTCTTTTATATTGATAGACGAACTAAAGTAAATTTGAATAATAACAAGATACTGATTGTAGATAAATCATTTCATCTATTCATTAATCTTAATTTATGTGAATAGAAAAATAAAGAATCATTATCGCAAAAAAAAATCAAGTTCTTAAGTAAAATATAATAACGATAGTCGAAATCAATGTCGACTATGGACGGAACTTTATAATTTTCTTTTTCTGTCTGTATACTTCTCATGGTCACAAACTATCATACCTCTAAAGTTCCCTTTGATAATTATAAATTAAAGACTGATACATAGTTCTTTGCTTTACTGTTGTGAAAACATTTTTTTTTCACAAGGTAACACTATGTATGTGTATCAATAACATGTCTGAATAAACATATTGATGGATCTTACTTGTGTCTACGTATGTTTCTGCTATTGCTACACTGTTTAAGCATGAAATGAATGAAAAAAAAGAAAACGTTGTCTATATAAACAAACTGAATTCTTTTCGTTACACAGTTGTAACAATCTAGTGTAGAAAACTATACTTGTTTTCAATCCAACAAACAACATGTACGTAGAACCTGACGCCAGTGGAGCACCAGCAGCAAATACTGCACTCCCAGTTATTGGAGCTATGTCTTGTGGAACTCTTCTTTTATTTATACTTGCTGCTACTATTGTACTCGCACTTATTCCCGTCTATGTACCAGAAAAATCAGCTTTATTAAGTTCTAGTAAATAATTCATTTATATTTTTGTTTTTAAAATGCTATCTAATCATATGTCATTGTAGGTTTAACAGCAAGTAATGAATTCACAATGTATTTACCTGTTGACAGTGCTGCCACGGGTAGAAGACGAAGACAGCAAAGTGCAGCAAGTAATCCATTAGTAAATTGCGCGGGTGGTAGGTTTGGACCGTCCGGCATCTCAGCGCTTGAAACTGCAGTATGTCGTCATCTGTATTTTTTTATATTCAAGAATTGAAAGATGCCAGAAAAGATTGAAAATAATCCTGTCTTCTATAGAGATACAACCCTTTAAATTATCTTTCTTGAGCTCTCATCTATCATATTCTCAATTTGTGAAATATATAACATCCTAAAATTAAACTATATCATAATGACCACGTGAATAACATAGTCATTTAATTAATCTTTAGCATGAAAATCTCGAAATAAACAAACATTTTTTTTTCAAATACAAATTAAAAATTCACATTCATGCATTTTCTATAAATTGTAAAGATCCGATTTGGTAAACAATAAATCCGACTTTTGTTAAAAAGTGAGATCGACAAATTTTCTTTTGATTTCTCTTGTTTCATACATATACATATTTAAGTATTAATCTGTTTATTTTATTTTAGATGCTTAGCTCTGTACAATCGAACGGTAACGTCCAAAGTGTAACAGTTTCAATTGTTGACGTCACAGTGGATGATACTAGTAGAAGAAGACGTTTGTAAGTTACAAATATATTATTAAAAATCAATTCATCAACAAAATATATCTTTCTAGTTCATTTTCAAAACGTCAAAATAATCTAATAATTATGTTGCGTGTTACATGTGTACTTCAGTTTAAGCCGAAGTGTGGCTTTAGGTGTCAAAACACAAATGGTGATTTAATTGCAGCATTACTTCAATCGAATTTACCATCTCGTTTGTCTCTTATTAATATTCCTATACTTAATTCAGCAGGAGGATTGTGTCAAACCATGAGTTCAATTCGAGTCAGTAGAGTTCGACTTATCACACCTATACGTAAGATTACTTCATTTTTGATAACTAGTAGTATTTTATACTTTGCATTTTTCCTTAGGTTCTGGAAGGTTTTCCATGATTAAACCAACAGTACGTCCAACATTTAGTATAACAGGAGCTACTGTTACATCTGTCACATCAACGACCGTTATAATACCAACAGGGAGCATGGGTTAAAATCGTAATCATTTACTACTTTCAATTGACTGTTTATCGAACGTTTCGGACAATGACTGCATATCTATTTTAATTACAACTCGTTCTATATTAACACAAATATGATTCATTTTATACTAAAACAAAAAAAACACTAATCAAAAGTAACTTTAACTAACCATTGATTTTTATTAAGTGTATTTTTCATTAATTACAAAATTTTTTTAAACAATTCATCGATTTTAGTCTATTTAACAAATAAAAATTAAAACCTTTTGTCTTTTTTTATTAAACAAGAATATAAAATATACTTTTAATGATTGAATAGTTCTATTTGGTATGTTTTGTTGATTTTCTATTTGATGTATATTTTATTGATGATCAATTGGAAGCTAAATGAAATATTAACAAAAAAAAACGAATAGAAAACATAAAATTGAAATTCTTTTTGTTTATACTTGTTCTCATTGTAGTTTTCCACGTAATTGTTGATCAAGGTTAAGTATGGCTTGGTTATTTTTATCAATACCCTATCTAATAAACATTTCTTTATCAAAAAAAATTGTCCTTGGGTTGTTTCTAATTACACAGTTAATTGTGTAGGTTTTTTTTTTGTGTTTAATAGAAAATTTTATGCCTTCAATTAATGATTGTTGTAATGTTTGTAATTGTTTAGTATATAATTGTCGTAGTTTATTCCATAACAATTCTAAACTCTAAGAAGAAGAATTTGTGATAAATTTTTGAAAAAGAAAAAAGGTTTCGTTTGGATATTACTTAAAATTGTGAACTAGTACTGTCAAGTTCTTATAAACGTGTTATTAGTGTATCATTTGTAGTATGTACTTGATGATTTTCTTCTTCTAAAGACTCACGTTATTCTATATAGAAAGAAAATCAATTTAAATTAAACGAGTGTTTTTCTTTGAAATTTGAAAATAGACAATTCGAATTTTTATTTGATAAAGATCAATATAATTCTAAAGGTACGGATTAATGACTATGATCGCACTCATTTATCAAAATCCTAGATCCATCATTGATACGGATAGTATAAATGAGTAAAAATTATTAAAATAATATCTATTCGAGAAAAGAATTTTGGACATTAATGTAACTTGGAGTTCATCAGAAAAATTATACTGAAGAAAACAAGAAAAACATTGTCAAATGTAAATTGGATGAACATTAACGTATAGAAATTTTTCATCAACCAAACTCGAAGGATTCGATTATTAGGAGTTTTCATATCTATGCGATATTAACTTGATGAAGAAACTTTCATAGATGCTTCCTTTCGATTTCAATGGTTTGTTGCTTACAGATATGAGATAGTATTACAGCAAAAATTCTAAAAGGATTGTGGTTCTTATTGTAATTGGGCAGAGTTATTGTATTTTTAATATATCTGTTATTCAGATAGGCTTGTAGAATTCCAGTTTAAAGAAAAACTGTTTTTTTTTCAGATTTTTGTCTTGAGAATGCTTCTGTTTAAAAGTCTAGCATAGACTAGTGTGTCAGACGGCACTCATGGGTTGCCGCTCCCATTGTGAAGTCTATCTCCTGACAAGATCATCCTCTTTTTTTTAAATCTGCGGAAGTACCATTGTACTCTCTTCCACAAA